TGGTTGTGGGGCTTGAACTCTGGGCCTGACCACTGTCCCTCAGCTCTTCAGCTCAAGGCTAGTGCTCTACCACTTGAGCTACAGGACCACTTCCAGTTTTTTCTGGTTGTTTATTGGAAATAAGAGTTTCACAGACTTTCCTGCCTGGGCTGGCTTTGAACCATGATCCTCAGATCTCAGCCTCCTGAGTAGCTAGGATTATAGGCATGAGCCACCAGTGCCCAGTTTAGAAAGGAAGAAAGAGAGAGAGAAAGAAAGAAATAAAAAGAAAGAGAGAGAAAGAAAGAAAGAAAGAAAGAAAGAAAGAGAAAGAGAAAAGAAAGAGAAAGAAAAGAAAAAGAAAAAAGAAAGAAAGAAAGAAAGAAAAGAGGAAAGAAAGAGAGAAAGAGAGAAAAGAAGTAAGGAAGGAAGAAAGGAAGGAAGGAAGGAAAAATATGGTAGCCAATTATTTTTTATTATGTTTATATATTCTTTGCCTTTCATAATTGGCAGTCATTTTTATTTCATATTTTAATATCTTCCTACATGACCTAAGTCAGGACTTGTCTGTGACACTATACTGAGAGACCATATAATGAACCACACTTCCTAGTTTCAAATCCTGGCTCTGTTCCTATCTCTTGTTTTTCTAGAAGTTACTTAGCCTCTTCGTTTCCTTTTTTAAATGGCACAATAATAGTACTTATCTCATTATCCTTTTCTCTCTCTTTTTTGAGAATTAAATGAGCTAATGTTCATTTAAAATAATTTGTGGCACATAGAAAGTGCTAGGTAAAGACTGCGGGTGTAGCTCAGGTTGTACAGCACCTGTCCAGCAAGCACAAGGCACTGAGTTCAAACTCCAGGGCCATGAAAAGTGCTATATATCAAGTACCATTATATCCCTCCATTTATAATCTCACAATGACCCTGTGAAAAAGATGGAGCACAAAAGTAGATGGATAAAGGGTGAATGAATGCAGCTGTGGTACTCACTGGACACTGTTGAAAATAACCTATACAACTTGTGGGTGAGAATGATAGGAAAAAACTGGGAGAGAATGAGGTAAGGGATGACATTGTCCAAAAAGAAATGTACTCTTGCTTGGAAACTGGTGGCTCATACCTGTAATCCTAGCAACTCAGGAGGCTATATTTGAGCATCACAGTTCAAAGACAGCCAGGCAAAGAAAGTCTGTGAGACTCATATCTCTAATTAAACACTAGAAAACCAGAAATGGTGCTGTGGCTCAAAGTAGTATAGTGCTAGCCTTGAGCAAAGGAGTTCAGGGACAACAGCCAGGTGCTGAGTTCAAGCCCCGTGCCAATAGGAAATTTACTCTTTACCTGACATATAACTGTAACCCCTCTGTACATCACCTTTATAATAATAAATTTTTTTAAAAGAAGGTAGACATCAGTCTGGCACTGGTGGCTCACACCTATAATCCTAGCTACTCAAGAGGCTGAGATCTGAGGATCGTGGCTCAAAGCCAGCCTGGGCAGGAAAGTCCATAAAGACTCTTACCTCCAATTAATCACCAAAAATGCCATTAGAGCTGCGGCTCAAGTAGTAGAGTGGTTGACTTGAGCACAAAAGCTCAGGGGCAGCATTCAGGCCTAGATTTCAAGCCCCAGGACCAGCATCAAAAGAAGAAGAAGACAAAGAAGAAGGAGGAGGAGGAAGAGGAAGAGAAGCAGGAAGAGAGGGAGGAGGAGGACATCAGATCTGTAGAAATGTACACTCTCCCTGTTGTGCCTTTTTTTCTGTGACACCCTGGGGGAAGGGATGCCCTAACTTGCTAAATCCAGCCACAAGAAGAGATATTGCTACCCCCAGACACCCAAAGAAAAAAGGAAGATAGCTTCATCCCTTTGTGCTGCTATATTAAAACACCATCATCTAGGTGGCTAATACACAACAAAAAGGGACCGAGGGGCTGAAAGATCTCATGTACAGCAAGAGCTCCCTTTCTGCTTCATAGATGGCCCCTTCTGGTTGTGTCTTTACATGGCTGGAGGAACTTCTTTTGAGTTTCTTTTATGTTTGTACTAATCTCTTTCATAGGGTTATGTGATAAAGTCCTAATTATCTCCCTAAGGCCCTACCTTCAAGTACTGTCACTTAGGGTGTAAGGATAGCAGAGGAGAATCTATTAACAAAAAGCATAGAGATAAGAAAGATTATAAGGTGACAGATAATAAGAAAGACTATAGAGTCAAATAACCAAATCAAAAGAGCTCAAAGACTAGTCTCACCTCCTTTGAATTTCTAAGCTTCTATATAGCCTTTGTCCATTAATGCCCAGAAATCTTTATGCATAATAATTTTAGTAAGATGCCTCTTTCTCAGGCTCTCCTGTGAATCACCAAAATGCTCATATGTAGCACCATTTTACACACACACACACACACACACACACACACACACACACACACACACACACACATCAGGCTTTGAGAAATTATCAACTTCCTTTGTTCTGAATTCCCCAACCTGTCATCCATCACTGAAACATAATCAATGAAATAGACACCAAGAAATCTCATCAGGCTTCTAAACTTTCATTTCGCACTTAAGAGTTTTGAGTTTTACTCAGAATTTGACATGTGAAAAGTATGAGATCAAATAAAATCCATTCAATAAAACAAAAATAGAAATAAAAGCAAAAGACTTTATCATACGGATCTGAAAGGAGCATATCATAGGAGCTCCTCTCATTTTAGAGGTTAACAGGTAACACACTAGACCAGCTAGCTCACTTGCTTGCTGGCTTTCTTTCTTTCTTTCTTTTCTTCCTTCCTTCCTTCCTATCCTTCCTTCCTTCCTTCCTTCCTTTTTTCCTTCCTTCCTTCCCCCCTCTCTCTTTCTTTTCTTTCTTCTTTCTTCCTTTCTTTTGCTCTGTTTATGATGTGTAGGACAAAAAGTCGTCATCCACAGGAGAAAGCAGGCTTCCATTGCATGAAGGTCCTTGAGCAGATGTCATTAAAATCTCTTAATAGTAGTCGTAGGATCCAGGATATTTTCTCTCTGAGGGAAAAAGGGAGAAGAGAAAAAGCAAGAAAACATAAAAGGTGAAAGTTTTGTGTTAGAGGCAACCCTGCACTCAGCCCCAATGACTTTGTTAAAGCCACACAATGAAGAATAGTGGGGAACAATGAATTCTTTGTTCCTCCAAGAGTGGCAGCCTGCTAAGGGGACTCCAAGAACTCTTTAAAAGTATTTCATTCTCTTAGGGGGAACTAGATCATTACAATTAGCTATTTGTAAGAAGAGATTTTAATGTATTCACTCATGAATGTGTTCATTCATTCAAGAAGTATTGTTTGGAGTGCAATTTGAGAAGAAACAAGACAAAAGAGAAGGGAGGGGAATGCAGTAGTATTTCCTACCAACTTTCAGAGAGGAAAGAAAACAGCAATAGAGGCTCAGGGTGTTAAGAGTCACCCAGAGAGGAACTAATATCAAGTCAGCCAACGAAGACCAAAGTCCTTGTTAGCTTGTGGGATGAAAGGTTCCCAATGGGATGAAAGGAAGGAGGATGTTCCTCAAGTTCTTCAAGGAAAAAAAATCAAGGAGTCATGCTTCCCCTCCTCCTCTGTTTTTTTGCTGGTACAGGGGCTTGAACTCAGAGCCTGGGTACTACTCTTTGTCTTTTCACTCAAAGTTGGCATTCTACCATTTGATCTACAGCTCCACTTCTGGCTTTTATTTTTTTGGAGGTTAATTAGAGATAAGAATCTCATCAACTATTCCTTCCCAGGCTGGCTTTGAACCATGATCTTTAGATCTCAGCCTCTGACTAGCTAGGATTACAGGCATGAGCTACCAGTGTTTGACTTGAAGTTGAGCGTTTTCATTTGGAGGTTCTAAATTAAGTTGTACCTCTAGGACTGTGATAATAAGATTAGTTCAAAACGAATACCTATTCCAGGGCCTGTTGTTTATTAGGAACCAGGAAAGACAGACAGAGAACTTTGTCCTTGCAAGTAAGATTGAGTCTTGCGATAAGATGAATAATAATAAATTCGAGCAATAGCCCAAATGCTTTGAACAGCCTTATAAGGAACAACACAATCTGACCCCCTGTTATCCTTCTGATCTTAACTCCTGCACTCTTCACAAACCCCTCCATTCCAACCTCTGGCCTTCTTGCTATTCTTCAAACCCACAGACCTTGGCCACTTCTAGGCTTGGCTCCCTTCCTTCTTCAAGTCTTTGTTAAAGTTTAACCTCCTAATGAGGCTTTCTATGGACATTTATTTAAAATTCCAATTTTTTCTCTCTTCTACTCCCCCCTCTTTCCAACTTACCGTCTTTGCTTTATTTTTCTTTATAAGACTATTCCCCAATCTGATATCCTACATAAATGTAATTACATACATAAATATAATTACATACAAACAAGGATGCAAAGGTTTCTAGCCCAATTTGTATGTACATGTGTGCAACAGTCCTGGGGCTTGAGCTCAGGGCCCGGATGCTGTATCTGATTTTTTTCTGTTCAGGGCTAGTGCTCTACCACTTGAGCAACAGCTCCACTTCTGGCTTTTTTTCCCCCTTTGGTATTTAAGAGTCTCAAAGACTTTCCTGTCATGGCTAACAGTTTCCAATGGTGATCCTCAGATCTCAGCCTCCTGAGTAGCTGGGATTATAGACATGAGCCACCAATTAGTTTTCACAAACTGAATACGACCACATAACCAGCACTCAGGACAAGAAACAGAATACTTCCATATATCCTTCCTAGACCCTAAAAGTAACCACTGGCTTGATACCTCACTGCATGGATTAATTTCTTCCTACTTTTGTATTTTATTTATATAGGCTCATCTGGTGATATACTATATATTTTAATGCTTTATTTACAGACTGTTTGTCCCTACTGTTAGTGTGTAAGCCTCACACGGGTCTGTGTTTGTTTTGTTCACTGCTGCATTACAAGTGCCTAAAAGAACATCTGGCAAAGCATTGGAACCTAATAAATATGTGATGCCTGAATGAATGAAATATTGAACAAATAAAAATGAGAATAAGAAGATGAGAAAAAAGAAAGTAGAACGAGAGAGTTTCTAAGAAGGGCTTCAAGCCTTGAAGGATGAGCAGGAATCCACGAAGCAGAAAAAGAAAAGATATTTGAGGAGAGACAGAGCCTGTTCAAAGGTGTGTCCGTGAAGAAAACACACACACACACACACAGACACACAAAGTCGAGAAGCCACAGAAATCAGCACGCGCAGGGCAATGAGCAAAGGCCATGTACTGAAAAACAGTAGCTACAAAGCTGGAAAAACATGCAGATCCCAGACCTCAAAGGCTTCATATAAATAAATACATGAAAAGAGGTGAGGGAAAGTAAAATACAAAGGTCTTTAAGGTATTTCTAGGACCCTTTTCTAGGGTGCTGAAAATTAAGGGGATAAAAAAAAGGATTTCTTTGAAGTCAACTCATTAATAATGTATCTTGGAGTCCTCAGAAGAGAGTCAGAGGCCCACTATGTTCAAAGACTTCTAACTGCTCCTGAATATGTGGGAAAGCCTTAAAAGTCTGGGGAATAAGTAAGGCCCTCTTTTCTTTCCTTTGAAGGAAAGGCCAGCTCCAGTGGGAATTTTAAATGTGTGAGTCTTTCTGGTTAATCTTGTTTTACTGAACAGAGGGAAGGAAGGAGCCAAGAGTTCTCTCTTCCTTCCACACCTGCTGGACAGGGCCACGAGAGGATGGTGCCCTATGCCCAAAGGCAGGGATAGGAAAGAAATGCCTTGTGTGTCTTCACTACCCCTAAGTTCACGGTCTGTATCAGTGGTTCTCAGAATCACCTAGAGGCCTGGTTATAGCACAAATTGCTAGGTCTACTAGAGTTTTGTATTTGAGAGGTCATGGGTGAGACCTGAAAGCATGTACCTCCAACAAACCCCCAGGTGGTGCCAATATTACTGGTTTGGCAATGGTGTGTGGAGACCCTTACGCAATGCAGCCTCCTAAACCAGGAGAGGATTCTTTAACATCTTCTTTCTCTTCTTCCAGAGGGGTCTGGATGTTCCATATCTATCAAGCTTCAACTCCACCCCCCTCTCACCATGGAGGCCAGGCTGGCTTATAACCTCCTGTCTCAGCCCCACAGATGCTATGATTACAGGTGAGCACCATCATACCTCGCTAACTATTTTGCCATCACTTAAGTAAAGAATTCCCAGGTAAAATACAGGACACCTTGTTAAATCTGAATTTCTGAGAAATAACAATTGTTTAGCATATGACATTATTTATCAGTTATCTGAAATTTAAATCTTGTCCTTAATGGCTTAGTAGCTTCTTCACTTCTTTATGTAGAAGGGAGACAGTAAGAGCAATTACCACCAGGCACCAGTAGCTCAAGCCCTTAATCCTAGTTACTCACGAGTCTGAGATCTGAGGACTTAAGTTTGAAGATAGTCCAGGCAGAAAAGTCTGTGAGACTTCTTTCTACCTTGAATTAACTGGACAAAAACTGGAAATAAAGGTGCGGATCAAGTGATAGAAAGCCATCCTTGAGGGAAAAAAGCCAAGCAAGAGTACAAGATAAAAGCTGGGAATGTGACTTAGTGATAGAGTGCTCATCTAGCATGCGTGAAGCCCTGGATTCAATTCCTCAGTACCACATAAATAGAAAAAGCTGGAAGTAGTTCTGTGGCTCAAGTGGTAGAGTCTAGCCTTGCACAAAAGAAGCTCAGAGACAGTGCCTAGGCCCTGAGTTCAGGCTCCAGGACTGGCAAAAAAAAAAAAAAGAGTGCAAGAAGAAAGCTGTGCACCAGTGGCTCACATCTGTAATCCTAGCTACTCAAGAGGCTGAGAGCTGAGGATCACACTTTGTCCATGAAATTCTGGTCTCCAATTCACTACCAAAAAAGCCAGAAGTAGAGCTATGGCTCAAGTGGTAGAACGCTAGCCTTGAACACAAAAGCTAAAGAACATTTTCCAGTCCCTGGTTTCAAGCCCCAGGACTGGCACCAAAATCATCATCATCATCATCATCATCATCATCATCATCATCATCGTAACAATTACCTTTCAGGGTTTAGGTAAAGATTTAAAATGATATCTGTAAAACATGAGGCATGTGATGAGTGGCAGATAGATGGCTAGCATGACTTCTCAGTCTGTCATAACACAAAGCTGATGTCGCTAGCAGAGGAACAGAAGCCTCATCAAAGATGGCAGCCACATCTGTCAGAGTAAGAGCAGTCAATCCTAATGCATGGTCTTTTTTTCAAACCCAGGAAGACTCTACCTCATCCTCTTCTCTTGCCCCAGGCTACAAACATATGACCATGTGCTTCTTTAAATCCCCCAAGTACCCAGAAGTGGCATACAGTGAACATTAATGAACAATCCTTCTTTATGATGAAAGGCAGACTACTCTCTCTCTCCTTCCCCCCTCTTCCCTCCCCTCCCCTCCTCTCCCCTCCTCTCCTCTCCTCTCCTCTCCTTTCCTCTTCCTCTCTCCCTCCCTCCCTCCCTCCTCCCTCTCAGGTTTGCACTTACTTGGGAACTTACGGACAACTCTGAAAGGTCGGTGATTCTCATCTGCCTCTGCTATGCGGCACACATATATCTCATTTAACTTGACAGGGTATTTGAGGACCGAGAACACCCTGAACAAGCCATTCATCTTCTCCTCCAGGACCTCCACAGTACTATGGTTGCTCAGATCCCTCTCTTTCCGATCCATCCAGGTCACATTGGGTGTGAAGTACCAGCCCTTGGAGATGCATGTAGCCACATCCTCATCATCCATCTGGTCAAACTGCACTTTGGGCATCTCAAAGTCTGATTGGGGGGAAAATAACAAAACAATTAGTTACTTTAAAAAAATGTCATCCCCAGGAGGCTCAAGTTAGGAAGAATTTTCCCCTCTGATTTTCCATTAGCCCTTATGGAGGTAACACCTTTTGAGATCGCCTAGCTAACATTGTGGCCCTAGTACAGTATATGAATGGGATACACACATGCTTTTATAGTCCAGGTCTTACTACCATTGCTGTCCTTACCTTGTCCTTCATCTCAGACTCTCCACTGATCTCAGATACCCTGCTGAGAATCATGGAAGATATGGAAGGATTCTCACCAGCACCTTGCCATCTCTTCCAGCTCTAATCCTGGAATAATTCCGCCATGCAGGCAGAGCCCCCAGTCCCCTTGGGGTCTCATACAATTCTGTGAAGGGGAAAGATCCCTAGGGTACTGCAGAGATGCAATGATCCTGTCTAACCTACATATGAACATATTAACAAGTGAAAAAAATAAAAGAAACAAATTTCAGGAAAGCTAAATGAGTTGCTCTAATTTCTCCAGAATTAGATCTTGGATCTCCTTCCCAGTGCAGGGCTGTCCTCACTAACACAAATGTTAGGCTGGCTCATGCCTGTAATCCTAGCTACTGAAGAAGCTGAGATCCAGAGAGACGCCAGTCTGGACACGAGAATCTATGAGATCCCATGTCCAAAATAGCCAACAAAAAGTGGGTTGGAAGCATGGTTCAAGTGGTAGAATGTCAACCAAGCAAGCAAGCTAAGCAAACAGGAGGCCTTCAGTTCAAGTCTCAGAACTGAAAATAAACAAATGAATGAAATAAAAATAAGAATGAAAAAGCACGTATCAGACTCCAGAGTCTTCATGTAAGATTACTAAAATATATAAAATTTTGGTATTTGGGGAGTACAGTTTGTGGAGTCTGGGATTAGTGCTGCTGCTTTGTCTTTCTGTTTTAATGAATAAATATTTTGTTGTTGCTTGTTTGTGTGCCAGTCCTGGGGCTTTAACTCAGGGATTGGGTTCTATCCCTTAGCTTTTTCACTCAAGCTACACAGTACTACTTCTGCCTTTTTGATGGTTAATTGGAGATAAGAGTTTCATAGACTTTTCTGCCTGGGCTGGCTTTGAACTGCAGTCCTCAGATCTCAGCCTCCTGAGTATCCAGGATTATAGGCATGAGCCACAGGTGCCTAACAAACAAAAAATAATACGTATGCACACTGTACAGACACAACACCTTTTGTTCAGATATTTTCAGATCAGATAAACCAACATCCCAAACCCCTAACTGTTGCAGCTTCTCCACATGAGCAGAGACAAAGTTCAAACTGAAGTTCATCTGGTAAATTCCTTTACCTTCTACTATTAGCTTAATTGTACTCTCTCCTCTTCCATCTGGTGTGATGGCTGAGCATTTGTAGATTGCTTCATCCAGGAAATCCACATTTCTTAGCAGAAGAGACAGAGTACCCTCGGAAATTTCATCTCTGTCCACTGACACTCGTCCCTCATACAGGGAGTTTTGATCTTCTAGCTGCTCTGTGTTGTCACGAAAGTAATAAACCAACTTTGTGAAAACTTCGAAGAAGTCATAGTACCTGAAAAAGCGGTAATAATCATCATCATTGTCTACCAAGTATTCCTCTCTGATGTCTTCTCTTTCCCAAGTAAACTCCAGATTTTCTGTGCCCTCCACAAAGGAGAAATGGCAAGAGAGGGTCACGTCGGTGAATGGGGCGGCCCGCAATTCTTCAACTGATGCTGAAAATGTCAAAGAAAAAATGAAATTAGCAAAGACCCAAGACTATTGCATATGGGGAGTTTAATAATGATTCAAAGAAATTTCTCTACCTATCTTAAACAACAATGGATATAATCCAGAGAACTAGACATTTACAAAACCACTGGAAATCTGGAGGAATGAGCCTAAAACAGGGCTTAGAAGGTTAAGACTTGAAATGCATATTTGGCTCAGAATCAGCAAGGCCTGCAAATTTGCTATGCCTTTATTTGGAAGCTGGAGAATCAGGACAGTATCATTGCAGGTGTTAGCCTCAAAGCCAAATTGCACCTGTCAGATTTACATTGGCAAAAGAAAAATGCTTCATGTACTGTAACCTTTCTCCCACTTCAATCTGTTGCCAGTGAATCCTTGCGCAAATGTATCTGACTAGCAGAGCAAGGGTCGCCCCCAAACTCGACGGAAAAGGAATTTTGGCCCTGTTGCTTCTCACTCTGCACTTTTGGTTATCCAGGCAGGCAGATACAGATGTCCAGTGCATGAATTTATTCTAGCTGACCCAAATACCTGCTAGTCCCAGGCACCATTACAGCCAGCAGAATCTGAGAGCTGAGAGGAATAGAATATAGCCTTCACTATGTATAACTTCTAGAATTATAGCATGAATAGAATCCTTGGAAGTTAGGACTGGGGAAAATTTAGACATCACCTGATTCAATGTTTTCAAACTATTTTCCCCAGAACCCATCCCAGAGGTTGCCACTGGTGGCCAGGAGACCATCGGTAGGACTTCCATTTCCTTCCTACTTCACTCAGAACAACCATTTTCCACTTTGCAATAAGGCTATTGAATCAGAATCATTGCCAAATGTCACTACTACCAAAAGATAAGACTGATTCCCAGGAAGCAAAGTCTCTTAGGTCACAAATTAAGATATCAATAGCACCACAGAAAAAAAGCTCTTTCACAATTTTAAAATGGCCTCTAGGGTCACAGTTACCAAACGTTTTGGGGTTTTTTCCCCCCTGGTGGTCCAGGAGTTTAAACTTTAAGCTCTCATACTTGCTGGGTAGTTGTCCCACTGTTGAGTCATAACTCCACCCTCTTGTAGGGCTGGTTATTTTTTGAGATAGGGTCTTGCTACCTGCACTGTATTGGAGTCAAATCCTACTTGGCTTCCCACTATAGCTGGGATGACAAGTGTGAACTACTGTACCCAGATATTGCTCAGAAAGGCTCTCTCAAACTTTTCTTTCTGAGCCTGCCTCACACTGTAATTCCCCCGATTTCAGTCTCCCAAGTAGCATCATAGGTGTGAGCCAACAGGCACTCAGCACCAAACTCCTGAACCTCTAAGACTAAATACCTAACTTAAATGAGAACAAATAATGAATGAAAGGAGGGGTCCCGATAAACATATTCTAAGAGTTTTTCTGGCCTTAATTCTTAATTTACTTCATCTGCATGCCACATTCGAGATAGGCCCTATTACCATCCCCAAATCATTTTTTTTAAGCCAGGAGGTGAAGGAAATTGTGTGTAGTAGATGATAATGAAAACCCAGGCATCTGGCTCCAAAGTACCTCACCTGCAACCTGCTTTCTTTTTTTTTTTGGGTCCGGTCGTGGGGCCTGAACTCTGGGCCTGGGCGTTGTCCCTCAGCTCTTCAGCTCAAGGCTAGCGCTCTACCACTTGAGCCACAGCGCCACTTCCGGCTTTTTTCTTATGTGGTGCTGAGGAATCGAACCCAGGGCCTCAGGCATGCAAGGCAAGCGCTCTGCCACTGAGCCACCTTCCCAGCCCCCAACCTGCTCTTTCATCTCCTAACTGTGGCACTCTAAGCAAATCGAAGATTGATGAAATGAATGACTACAAAGAAGAGCAGATGGAAGGATGGAGGTAGAGAGAAACAACTTCCCTAACCTATAGAAAGATGGATTTGCAAGTTAAAAAACAAAACAAAAAAAGCAAGCATTTTAGCCCAACACCAGTGGCTCATGCCTATAACCCTAGCTACTCAGGGAGGCTGAGATCTGAGACAGTTGGTTCAAAGCCAGTCCAGGCAGGAAAGTCCATGAGACTTTCTGGTGGTGGTGCTATGGCTCAAAGTGGTAGAACATTAATTAGTGTTGAGCAAAAAAAGCTCAGGGACAGTTCCCAGGCCCAGAGTTCAAGCCCCATGACTGACCAAAACAAAAACAAAAAAAAAACAAGCATTTTATTTCTCAAATTGTCAATTTTTTACTGTTTATAATATAAAAGCAGTGGATTTTTAAATATATATGTAATCTCGGTCATAAGAATTATAAATCAGTGGTAGAGCGCTTGCCTTGCATGCATGAGGCCCTGGGTTCGATTCCTCAGCACCACATAAGCAAAAAAGAAAAAAGCCGGAAGTGGCGCTGTGGCTCAAGTGGTAGAGCACTAGCCTTGAGCTGAAGAGCTGAGGGACAGCGCCCAGACCCAGAGTTCAGGCCCACAACTGGACCCAAAAAAAAAAAAAATCTATATGGGCTGGGAAGGTGGCTCAGTGGTAGAGCTCTTGCCTTGCATGCCT